ATAAATCAATATTTCCAGTAATATCTCTAATTACTTTTTGATTAAAATCATATGATTTTAATACTGATTTATCACTTTCATCTTTAGGTGCTGACATTGAAAGATAATATAAAAGACTTCCATCATTATTAAATAATGGTTGATTATCATATCCTTTATTATTAGTTGTGATACAATTCCATTCTAATGGATTTTCAAATGTTGCATAATAAACGTTATTATCTAATGATGATGCTGGATTCTCTAATAAAATAGAAAATGCAATCATTGTTCCATCTGGACTAATATCATATTCTTCATTTCCTCCAAATGGACGTGCAGGACAATCATATTTCTTATCATTCATTATATCTTTAAATGTAATTGAGTTATCATCTTCTTCTTTAAAAGTAAATAAATGTTGGAATTGTCCATCCCAATAAGTGTCCCATCTTCTTATCATCAATTGATCATATACTCTATAATTTTGTTTTTCTAATTCAATAAATTTATTTGCTGATTCTTCAAGAGTCATTCCTGGGAAAACAGTCATTGATGCAAGTCCTCTTAATTTACCACCAACAGAAATCATTTTAAATGTATCAATAGAAATAGGTGTAGAAGTAATGTCTACAATCTTGTCATTCTCTATTTTTCCAATCTGTCCATTATGAAGCAAATAAACACCTTCATTAAGACAAACAAAATTAGAAAATGATTCTTCACTATATGGAATTAAATCAACTGGTTCAGTTTCAGTTAATGTTAATTTCTTTAATGAATGTTTTGTTTTATTTTCTTCTTCAAACCATTGACTTGTTGTATAATATACTACTCCATTTAAATGACATCCAAGTGATAATTTTTGAAGTTTTACTAATGTCTCTGCATCTAATACTTTAGCATAACTAAGTGCAATAATGGCTACTAACAGTATTATTCGCATATTCTAATTTTCAAGTTCTTTTACTTAAATAAATAGTTTAGAAAAGTAACTATGTTTGGAATTTTGAATATCATTTTTTTAGGAT